CTGGTTTGTATACAAATTGGAATTCCTTTGTTCCTAAATCACATAAGATCAACTTGATTTCTACTCTAGTCCATTGGGCACTGATGATTTGTTCCCCATGTACCCTTAACCTGGAACTAGAGAAAATTTGTAGGATTTTTATTGATAACAGTTTTCCTATTAATGTCATCAAGCACATTGTTGAATGGAAAATTAAGCATTTCAAGGAACCAGTAGTTTTTGATTTCTCTTTATGTCCCCTATATTTAAAACTACTATGGTTAGGTAGAAATAGTCAAATACTCACTGACAAGGTATCTGCATGTATTACATTAAGATTTTCAACTGTAATGTTACATGTTATTTTTTGACCCATTTGTTTTTACCCTCTTTCATTAAGTATAGTCTGTCCTATTTACAAAATAGTTCCATGGTATATACATTTAAATGTCAGTGTGATGCTGCACATATAGAATGGACCAATCAGAGACTGGAGACCCGTATTGCTCAACATGTTCCTGCAAGTCAAAGAGCAGGTAATTTTAGTCAATCTTCAAGGATGACCCAAGCAGGGTATGATACAGCAATTTGTTAACACCTTTTGGATAACCATGACTGTTCACATCAATATACAGATGATTGTTTCACTATCTTACATAGAGTTCAGTCCTCTTATCATTTGAAGATTTTGGAAGTGGTTTATATTAAAATATACCAACGGAGCCTATGCAGACAAAAAGAGCCGTTTACCAGCTCATTAAGTTTATTTGGAGGGCGTGAGTAATACTTTTCCCCTTTTATACTCACTTGAGACATTTATCTTGTATTTGTTAATTATTTTTATTAAGAAATTGTTTTTAGTCAACACGATTTCAAAACCCATGCCAGATTCACTATAATTGAGAGAATAGAAAAGTTCAGAGCAGATAACATTAGAAAGATTTTAGAGTCCCATGAAAATAAGTGGATACAACGTCTAAAAACACAATACCCAGCCAGGCTAAATCATAAATTTAACAATATATAATAGTAACAATCAACAAATCAAAACCTACCCACATTTCTCACCCACACAAGACAGACATGCTTACGGAGGAATGGAGGCCTCACACTTATACACTCACCCACACAATTATACACACGTACACACACCATACTCACTCACTCCCTAATGAGCCAAATGATAACACACACCTACAGCAATACACACGCTTACACATATCATACTCACTCACTCCCTAAGAACCAAATAACACACACAGAAACACTAAACAGAGACACATCTCCTCACCAGGTCCAATAAAACTGTCAAACTGACCAGAGAATTCAGGATAAAATGTATCTATCCAGTTCTTATCTCAAATAACAACTTAAAAGAGACTGTTTGACCAACACAAGGAATGTTAAGATTCATGTGAAAAAGATAAAAAAATAAAAATACAAATGAAAACTACAGACAAAAGTTCATTTTCTCCAACAAAAGACATTCATTTCTGTAGTTCACTGCCAACAGCAAGCAGAAATATTTCTCCTCCCGATGATGGCCATTTTGGTCGAAACTAGTCGAGGAATCTAAATGGAATAATAATAATAAAAAAATGAAAGAATATTAATCTACAACCCAGTGTGTCTAATGATTTTAATTTTTTAATTTTTTATTTTCTTAATGTTCAAAATATATATATATATATATATAAGGGTGAATTGAAATGATCTCAGCTACCTAACGAAGAACACTTCTCACAAAGTTTTGATGCTTAATCATTTGATCTGATTTGGGTGAGTGAGAATTTTTCATCATTTCTCATACATTTATGTTTATATATTTTATACATAATCTTGATTTTTGCATTACATTCTGTAATGTTTTATATATTAATAAAAAAGATAAAACTTGTGAATGAATAGACAGAAGTTTTTCTCATCAAAAAGTTTACTTTATTTCCATTTTCTTGCCAATGTTTTCCTTCTCTGTTGATTTTTAGGCTAAATGCATGATTTTTTTTTCTTAATATTAACTTAGATATTTTTGGGATGAAAAAGCCTGACCTCATGAAAGAACCAAAGTAAATGCTCCAGGTAACATAACTAAAATGCATTTGTGTTGAAATTCCATGTTGTAGGAATTGGTTTACTATATACACTGGTAAGCAAAACTTTTATGCTGTCTTAGTAAATTAATTACTTTTGTTTACTTTGCCTCCAAATCAAGAGTGATTAGTGATATGTACATTTCTCAGTACATTTTATGATCCTTGAGGGCCAGAGAAAAGTTACTGTATTTTCATTAATAGTAGAGGACAGAGAATTTTAAGCATATTGATTTTGAAAAAAGACCATGTAAATATACTAGACCACAATTGAAAATTTCACCTTTTAGCTTTTTTCTTAATTTAGAAAGGAATTTTTTGTGCCAAAAAGTGATCTTTATTATTATAGAAAGTACAAAATGACAAAATATAGAGTTAGCAATTAGTATTGCAACCTTTAGTTTCAATAATTGCCTCAATTTTATATGGCATTGAAATGGAAAATGTCCAGATTATCTCAATGAGAATTTTTTTTCCAATTCTTTCTGTGCAATAACCCTAAAGCTCTTGAAGATTGCCTGGTTTGCATTGAAGTACTTGTTTCTTCAGTTTCAGTCACAACAAAAATGGCTCAGGTATATTGTAATCAGGACTTTCTATTAGCCAATCTTCCAAGAGTTGAACATCTTTATCTATAAGAAACCATTTATCTATAAGAAGCCATTATAAGAAACCGTGATATGTGACAAGGAGTACTGTCATGCTGGCATAGTTTCCGCATCTTTGTAGTCTGGCAGAAGATTATACCATAGTAAATTAATAAAGTTTTTGCTGTTTAGATTTCCATTAACTTTCACTGATTTTCTTCTCCTATTGTTTTTGATGCAATCGCACACTGTTACCAGAACCTTTGCTTGCCTGTGTATATAGATAGATCAGCATGTGTACACACTTGTTTATGTATATATAGAGTTAAATGTAGAATTATTTTT